ACAGTATCATCTGCAAAGAGTCTAACCTTACCTTTGACACTATCCGGGAGGTCGTTTATGTAAGAAAGGAAAAGGCAGGGACCTAATACCGAGCCTTGGGGGACACCTGAGAGGACTGGTAGAATTCCTGATTTTTGACCTTCAACTACAACTTGCTGGGAGCGTGACTTAAGGAAGGAATGGACCCAATTTGTAACCTCATAACTTATACCCAATCTTTCCAATTTACTCACAAGTTTGTGATGGTCCACCTTATCAAATGCCTTATTGAAATCTATGACTATGACATCAGTTTGTTGGCCACTTTCAAGATTGTCATGAATTTCCTGGGAGAAGCTTACTAGCTGGGACTCACAACTCCGTTTTGACCTGAAGCCATGTTGATATGGCTAAGAATGTTGTGTTTATCATAAAAAGGACATAATATTTGACACTTAGATGTGCTCCATCAATTTGGACGCTATAGATGTGAGGGAGATTGGTCTATAACTGTGGGTTTGCATTTTGGGCCTTTTTTGTAAACTGGGGCAATTATTGCATGCTTCCAGTCTTCTGGGACAATACCTGTTTTAAGTAAGATTTGGAAGATTTGGGTCTGTATGGGAGTAACCTCTTGATGGAGCTCTTTTATTAACCTAGGGGATATTTGGTCAGGCCAGAAGCTTTATTTGGGTTTATCTATTTTAGGCCTTTTAAAAGTTTCTTCACACCATCTTCCGATATAGATACTTCTGGCATAGATGGGTGGTGTTTTGGACTAAGCTTCTGTTTGCAAGCCTGGGATAAGGGGCTGAGGCCGAGAGAAGACTCAAACTGGGAGTTATGGATATCTGCTTTTGCAACTGGATCAGTAAATGTTTGACCCTCTGATTTGAGGGGTGCCACACCACAGCTTTCAGTTTTGTTACTTTGAACGTATTGGTAGAATTTTTTATTTTTCACATTCTGGGAGTCTTGACTAAAAATGACAGAGCCTATGTATTGCCAGTATGCTTTCCTAGTTTCTCTTTGGATTTCACTTTTAAGTACTTTGAGCTTTTTGGCCAAATCATTTGATGGGGACTTTGACCTTTTAATGTTTAAATAAGTTCTATCACGTTTCCTAATTTTGCGAATAATGGACTTGTTTAACCATCGTAGATCTCGACGTGTTTCAGTGACTTTAGTTGGTATGTGAATAGAACAAAGGTGGTTTGGTTCGTCCTTTAAGGAAATCCAGGCTTTATTGGGATCAGTCTGGTGTGTTTCACTGTAGACCTTGGCGTATTTACTTACATCATTTCTAAAACAATTCTAGTTTGCATTATTATAACATTGGATTTCCCTCTTTGATTGAAGTTGACGCCCTCTTGTTAATTTTGATTTCATGAAAGACTATGTCATGATCTGAGAAGTCTAAGGGAGGTAGGGTTTTTGTACTATGTACGTGGGAAGGCATGTTTGTGAGGAACAGGTCAAGGACGTTGTTAACTCTGGTAGGGATGTTGACCATTTGCTGTAGGTTTAAGTTAATGAGGTTTTCAAGGAAAGAAGTGTATATGTTTGGGAACTTACAACCTTCTATCAGGGATTCTGTTGACCAGTTGATGCTTGGCATATTGAAGTCCCCAAGCACCCAGACAATACTATTTTTGGGGATCTTTTTTATGGATGACCAAAGTTCATTGAGGGGTATCTCATCCTTCTCGTTAGGTTTATAGAAGAAAGAGATATAGATGTACTTAAAACCTTTAAGGGATATTTTGGCCCAAACTGAATTATATTTTGATTTCAGATCGGGTTGTTCCTGGCTTAGGATGGATTTCGATATGACAATGAGGGTTCCCCCACCTTTGCCCTCTAGTCTATCATCCATATATACCTGGAAGTTTAAGAAGTCAGGAAAAATTTCAGCTGTTGATATTTCAGGTTTTAGCCGTGTCTCGGTGCAGCAATTAATGTCGGGTTTGACTTGAGATATTACCTGTTGTAAATCTGGTATTTTATTTTTAATAGAGCGGCAATTTATGTTTAAGACGCACAACCTTTCACATTCTTCAAGTTTTTTTGTTTGCCTTTGGAGGATGACGCTTATTTTTATCCCCCGCCGAAAAGGCGGCGGGGGATATAGAAATAGTCTCCGTCCGTCCGTCGACCTTCCGTCCGTCCTTCCGTCCGACATTTTTGTCCGGAGCATATCTCAAAAAGTATTTGAGTTATCAACTTGAAACTTCATAGGTGAATAGACCTCATTAAGGAGGAGTGCAGTGCACAAGAATGATAACTCTACCTTGCATGATTTTTGAGTTATTGCCCTTTGTTATTTTTCAAAATTGATTTTTGTCCAGAGCATAACTCCAAAAGCCTATGAGATATCAACATGAAACTTCATAGGTGCATAGATCTCACTCAGGAGGTGTGCAGTGCACAAGAATGATAACTCTACCTTTCATAATTTTTGAGTTATTGCCCTTTGTTATTTTTCATACTTAATTTTTCACCTGAGTGGAGCATAGCTCAAAAAGTGTTTGAGATATCAACATGAAATGTCATAGGTAGATAGATCTTATTGAGGAGGAATGGTGTGCGCAAGAATGATAACTCTTCCCTATACATTTTTTGAGTTATTGCCCTTTGTTCTTTTTCATGCTATTTTGTCCAGAGCTTATCTCAAAAAGTATTTGAGGTATCAACTTGAAACTTCAAAGGTGGATGAATCTCATTGAGGAGGAGTGCAGTGCTTAAGAATGATAACTCTACCCTGCATTATTTTTGAGTTATTGCCCTTTGTTATTTTTCAAAATTAATTTTTGTCCAGAGCATAACTCAAAAAGCCTTTGAGATATCAAAATAAACCTTCATAGGTGCATAGATCTCACTCAGGAGGTGTGCACTGCACAAGAATGATAACTTTACCTTTTATAAATTTTGAGTTATTGCCCTTTGTTATTTTTCATACATAATTTTTCACCCGAGTGGAGCATAACTCAAAAGTGTTTGAGATGTCAACATGAAATGTCATAGGTGGATAGATTTTATTGAGGAGGAATGCTGTGCAAAAGAATGATAACTCTTCCCTGTACAATTTTTTAGTTATTGCCCTTTGTTCTTTTTCATACTATTTTGTCCGGAGCTTATCTCAAAAAGTATTTGAGGTATCAACTTGAAACTTCATAGGTGGATGGATCTCATTCAGGAAGAGTGCAGTGCACAAGAACGATAACTCTACCCTGCATAATTGTTTAGTTATTGCCCTTTTTTTATTTTTCAAAATTAATTTTTGTCCAGAGCATAACTCAAAAGGCCTTTGAGATATCATTATGAAACTTCAAAGGTGCATAGATCTAACTCAGGAGGTGTGCAGTGCACAAGAATGATAACTCTACCTTTTATAATTTTTGAGTTATTGCCCTTTGTTATTTTTCATACTTAATTTTTCAATTCAATTTTTTTCTCAAAAAGTATTTGAGGTATCAACTTGAAACTTCATAGGCGGATAGATTTTACTGAGGAGGGATGCAGCACACAAGAATGACAACCTACCCTGCATTATTTTTCAGTTATTGCCCTTTGTTATTTTCAGCCATCAGTATTCACATAGGTTTCAAATCTGTAATCACTATAGCCATCAGTTTTCATTACCAAAAGACCTCTTTAAATGGAATTATTCTGCTCTACTACATATACATTCTTCCAATGAGCAAACACAATCGGCGGGGGATGGCCATGTTGACATGGCTCTTGTTGGGATTAGGGGTGGAAGTAGCAATTGGTTGTGTGCCTGGACTGCTTGAACTAATGTGTGATCTATGGGGGGAGGAGAAATCAAGTGCTATCTTCACTCATGATGGAATTGTGAGGGGAGAATCTAGTATTTTCATACAGTGAATTTAGGGATTCAGACAGAGAGGTAAAATAATTTATATCTCCACATTTGGTGCAGTGCCACACAAATCTGGAATCTGATAGGCAGTCATATGTGGAGTTTCCTATACCTTGGTCAAAATTGGTCAATCCGGCCCCAAAGTATTTTTATTTGGTCAATGCGGCCCCAAAATTGGTCATTCCGTCCCCAAAATATATATTTTTCAAAGAAAACTATTTAAGTCATCTTGCTGTATGATGGAATAAAAATGATTTATTATTAATTGAAGATTATTAACTATAGAACAATAGTAAAAAAAACATGAACTGGCATAAAAGTGTCGGTAAATTTAATTGCGCCGATTAAGTCTTTAATACGGTGATAATGAATATAACATCAACAATTATATGTACATCAACATTAATCCAGATGTGGTAATCAAACAGTTTAAAGCAATCAATTAACAAAAATGGTATAGCAGTGAAAACAAGTCCTTTAAATAAGTTGGTAGTATATTTCATGTCTTTATTCGATGTAAATTAAAGATAGTTTCGTGAGTGTTAATGCGATAATTAGGAAGAAATGCATAGAATTTCTATTAATGTTTAAAAAAATCTTATTTATTGTTTAAGAAGGAACAAACCATCGCCGATTTTATAGTTATTTCTGTTGTCACTAAGATGATAATAAAATAAATTATCCTTTGTTACGCAAATGCTCCTTTCATATCAGGCCATTCGACGTGGTCTTCAAGTTAGTCAGCTGGTGGAAGAAATTGTTTGTTAATATTGATAGTTTTTATATAAAATAAATAATAATAGATATCATCGTTGAAATTTTGTTTTTGTTGTTAATTTTTATTTTATTTCTTGATAAGTGTAAACTTACATTTTAAAGCAAAATAAATAATAAAAAAATGGGGCCGGGTTGACCAGAAATAACATTGGTTTTGGGCCGGGTTGACCAATTTGGGGCCGGGTTGACTTGGGGCCGGGTTGACTTGTACCGTTCTGACATAATGATATATGACTGTATCATTCTGGTGAATTCAAAGTGTTTTACTAAAGAATATGTAGATCTAATTATAAGCGAAAATATTTAGTACCATTCAGCCGTTTTAAATGGGCGCATCGTCTTTTAGATTTGTGAAGCCTGCTTTCTATCAATTATCACATGAACTAAAAAAAATGACACATTGAAAACCAAGAAAAGAAATTATTTTGCAATATTCTACTTTCGCTGCCAATTGTGTTATTTAATTCTTTACAATGAAAATGCTAATAGATAATTTATTTCTTAGTAATTGCTTAGTTAACAGACGCTAACAAAGTTATGGAGAACCGTCAATCGAAAGAGGAAGGCGAACTTTCAGATGAGGACGAAAACGGCAAAAGTAAACAAAATTTCAGCGTTTCAAAACTGACTGGTAATTCTAACTCACATTTAAATGGTGCTACGAACTTCAAACCAAATTCTGAATTTGGAAAGCTAAGTAGACCTGATCAATACCACAAATTTAAATCACATGTTCAACAAACACAGTCATCAACCCATGGCACTTTGCCAAATCCAAGGCAAATTTTACCACAACCATCTCCTCTACCTCACAGTCACAAGAAAAAAGAGCAGGAAAGAGCTTGCATTGTCATTAAGAATAATTCCGCAGTCAACTCCAATCGCAACAGAAGAGAATCAACAACAGATGCCTCGGAAATATCATTGAAATCTCCAACGTCCAAGAGTATCCTTTGAGTTTAAGTCAGTGTAAACTTGAACCTTGTTTTAAATGTGACAAAGAAAACCAAGGTTGTGTAGGTTCATCTCCATTTAATCAAACTTAAGATACATCAGTAGTATTCAGGGCTTATCCGGAAGGGCGATTCAGGCGAAAACTTCGCCATGTATATTTCCATTTCGCTCTCACAATTGATCAAAGAGAAGTCAACATCGCCGATAAAATCTTAATTCCCAAAGACTAATTACTTGGCGATGTAAAGAGCAGAGATTGTATCCGCCCATATGACGACTGCTAATTATCATTATCCAATCAGAGCGTCGCTTTATACTACCCTTCTACCTGTATGCAAAGCGATAGACCGCCTACTCTAAACAGTAAATAGTGAGAGCATCAGCCCGAAACGGGTAGTTTTGCGAGTTTAATACGGGATTAGGCGATAATTATAGATTGTTTTTACCCCGATCATCTAAACACGTGCATATCTTCCCTAATTAAACGCGGTGTTTAACCCGAGTAATGGCGATGTGCAATGGGTTTTTCACGGCTATCTCAAAACTGTTAGTCAATTAAAAATAATCAATTTCATTAATGATCAGCGACCGGATTAAAAACTTAATCATAGTTTTGAATGATTTCAGTCCAATAACATCAATTTTTACTGTAAAATTGTTGTCGCTCACGTCATGGCTACAGGGCGAAATGCCCAAACCTAGCAGTAAAAGAAAGTTGCTGATTCTGATACACCTACGCGAAAATTTAAGAAAGCCAATTCGCAAAAATCTTACGATTGATATGTTGAAAACAGTGAGAGTGTTTGACATTGTTATCTTTGTAGAAATGCCAAATTTGACACAGCTTATGCACGTGGGCACGACATCCCGGAAAAACTACGAATCATGATCGGCATGCTACATATCGGTCGTATATCATGTGTACATGTATATAACAACAAAATTTGTCAGGAAAGAAGTGTTCTTATAGTTTCAATATATATATTTGTTTTAATGTCATAAATATGACGCTCAGATTAAGATTTATCAATATTGTAAATTTCAAAAAGCATTATTTATAAAGATATTACGAGTTAAACATTTCATGAAAATAAAGGGAGGTAATTAGAAATTTATTTTCTATAATTTCTCAGTCAAATTTTTCAATAAGAAATGAATGTATATAATTTTAGTGATCAAATATAATGTGCACAAATGTTTGCAGTACATATTTTACATATTCTTCGATGTTTGAAAATTGTTTTATAAGCATAATTATATGCACATAAATGTGACATTACAACATACAAGATCATAAAAGAATTTCTGTAATCATTCTAACAGAATAGACAGATATTGTTAAGCAATATCCAATGTAACTTTATCTTCTATTAAAAGTGAGGAAAGTAATAATATAAAATTAATTTATTCATCATACTTTTTCTTACACATTATTATCAATAAATCTACATGAAAATATATAAACAAATATTTAGAGAAAGCTTATAAATAGCTGATAAATAGATTGTGTTTATATTATAGTTAAAGGATTTATAGCCATGTATGTTAATGCATACACATTGAGTTGTTTCCCTTCTCCCTATTTTTCGCGAGGAAGTCACTTCTCCCTAAAATTTCCCCCCAGGATGAGCCCTGAGTATTGTAATGACAACCTTAAACATAGAATGTTAATAAGAAAAAGATTCAAACAAGTGAATTACATGACAATGCATTTAATACATCATTCCAGTCTAATTCCAGCATTTAGATATGCAATAAATGCATTTAATACATCATTCCAGTCTAATTCCAGCATTTAGATATGCAATAAATGCATTTAATACATCATTCCAGTCTAATTCCAGCATTTAGATATGCAATAAATGCATTTAATACATCATTCCAGTCTAATTCCAGCATTTAGATATGCAATAAATGCATTTAATACATCATTCCAGTCTAATTCCAGCATTTAGATATGCAATAAATTCACATGACAGTAAATTCAGTGACATCTTAAAATAATGACCATCTTATGACAAACATAAATCAATACAATAGAATATAGACATACCAATATATGGTATTGACTCTTTCCCTCACATTACAACAAACCTCCTTTCACACGTGATATTAGTCTAGATTGCTGCAAAGTTAAAATATCAATAAAGTGTACAGACAGAAATAATGTGCATATTATTTCAAGTTAATTAAATAAAGAGTTAATGAATATTACCCAATGTCGCCATTCTAATTTTACATAACTCCACATAAGTAAATATCAAAATTTACAGTAAAGTATTGAAACAAATAATTTTATCAAAATGGCAACTTTTTTTTTATAAAGAGTAAACTGTAATTAATGCACAGTTCAACTAAGCAAGTATAAAAACAGAATAAAACCAAAAGTTACAAACTATCATAGAGTTCCATGGAGATCCACAATCCGAAGAAATAAACAGCTATACCATAACATTGATGTTCGCCCTCAGAACAACCGTGACCAAACTGAGGTATCTCAGAACTCCGGCTCAACAGTAAAAAACAATTGTGTACAACAATACACAAACCATTTTTAACCAATGAAAGCAAAGCTTCTGGGATAAACAACTGAACACAATGAAACGTAAGGAACAAACAAGAAACAATCCAAATAATGATTATTATCAACTTCCTGTATAGAACTTCCGGTAATCGGTATAGCTAAAGTCCGTCCAAAGTCGGTATGGTTAAAGTCAGTACACCCATAAACACTTCTGATATGAACTATGTAAATAACCGAGGTATATCAAGTAGAAAAAATACAAGTTGTTAACCTTATCTTCTAAAAAAATCAATATCTCTTACGCTAAAACAAAATAAGCCGTTTTTAAACCGCTAGTTTGATGTGATTTAATGTCCTATTTTAAAATTTATTACACCAATCGAAAGCTTTTGATCTTAGCTTCGTGATAGTATGACTATATACTTCAACACATCTTTTGACATAAAAGTATTTATATAAACTGTTAAACCTACATAATTATGATTTATACAGTGAGATAGGCAATTTTTTATGTTTACTGAAAAAACTACTGATAAGAATAGGTTCCGAAAGTGTTAATTTATATCGGTGTATAATGTATTATATTAAATTTCAGTTGTTTAGTTTCCTGTGACACACCTTATATTGAATGGAGCTCTTTAATTTGCTTAGATATCATGTTGCTCTAAAACACAACTGATTAATGGTGATATGGCAAAAAATATTTAATTTGACAAAAGACCTCCCGTTAAAATGACTTGGCGGACAAAAGCCCTCGCGTGAAAATAATAGGGCGGACAAAAGCCCTCCAGCAGCAAATACATATATGTATAGTTTATATTTTCTTTTCAATGCACTTAAAAATGTAGTTACGAAAATTTTTGTTTTCCATTGGCATAAGCATGTTTGTATGAGCTTGAACACATTCCTGAGAGACATCTGAATAATTTGTGCTAAAATCTGTAAGTTCATATTTATCCACGTAGATATGAAGGATTAGTTAAGATTAATAGTAGAGTAATAAATGATGAAAAGAAGTTAAAATTATCTAACTTAAAAGTTATTTAGACATTTATAATGTGCCTTGTAATGAGTCAATTACTTTTAAAAGTGATCTTGTTTTTAACGACATTCATGTAAAAAGTTACCTCGTTAAACATTTCAGGAAGGTATATTCAGAATAAAAGGTGGTTCTAGCTCATACACATACTTAGGCCAATTGAAAACAACAAGAAATATATGTAACAATTTTAATACGTTGAGTGCATTGAAAAAAACACAGGTATTCAACATACATACGATTTATTTATTTTTGTTACGTAGGGTTTTTGTCCGCCTTGTTAATTTCACGGAAGGGCTTTTGCCCGCCCAGTCATTTTCATGGGAGGGCTTTTGTCCGCCCTGTTATTTTCACGGGAGGGCTTTTGTCCGCCCTGTCATTTTCACGGGAGGGCTTTTGTCCGCCCTGTCATTTTTTGACTGGAGGGCTTTTGTCCGGGAGGGTTTTTGTCTGTTTCCCAAAGCTGCTGCTTATTTTATTCTTTTACAGTTTACAGTAAAGATGCAATTATATATATATATATTTGTTTTTTTTTTTGGTAGAAGAAATATAGCTAGGCATTTTTTCCATGTTGGATATTATCAATTTAGACTTGAAAGTCTACTCAAAATGACTTCCCATACAGTCATTTTTGTAACATGAAAATGATTCATGTAGTCAAATGACATAAGAAAAAACTGGTTTGACTCCTGAAAATTTTGGCCAAAGAGTCAATGACTCGTGAAATTCTGACCCTACTGAGAGCCCTGCTTCAATGTTAAAGTTTTGCTACACATAAAATCAGGATACATTTTTACTACATTAGTACATAGCATTATAGTTGCATTGCTGTTGTATTATAGGTCTACATTGTATTTGTTAAAATGTATACAGAGTTTGCACTAAAATATATATATATACATGTATATGACACTGACATGTATTGCTAGTTCTATTGTTTTATGACCACTCAATGTTCCAGTTATATGAGTGGCGGGAAGATAATGGACATGCACATTATAGTATAAGATAGTTTAAAGTTTAAACATAATACATGTCATGATGTATACAATAAACAACAACTGCAATTTTTTTGTGAAATTAAGGTTTAAAATTACATCATAAATCATATTTGAGTTTATAATTTCTGAATGCCTGATATTTTTCCCGACTTTAAGTTTCAAAAAGTGTCAGACATTCGGTCTTACATACCATGGAAATCTGTCAGACCAAAATGAAATCCGTCACTTGAGTTTGTATTTCTAAGACACTTTTCGGTTTTAATATTTTCGCCGTAAAAATTCCGTACAGCACATTTTCACCTCATCCATGGCGTACACCAACAATTCACGGACCTGCTTCCATTTTTCATTAAATTTCTCTCAGGTCTATTCTTTTCCTCCTTTTTCTGCTGTTCTGCGTGCACCTCTGACATAGATTTTTGTTTTTTCCCAGGTTTGGCACCTTTATCGACGCCATTTTGAATACATGTTACTTGGATAAAAGCCGGACAGACCAAACGATACGGAATAAAGAATTTTTCACAGTAACAAGCCCGACCAGGCTACTGTATTTTGAGAGGCATTATAAACAATTGTTTTGAACAAATGAATCATGCTAGTGAAATGTCTTTTGGGCTAGTGTATATTCCAATCTGGTAGTCTAACCAGCCTAGTCGATTCAAAGCCTAATTTCTTACACTGTTTAAATAAGCTTTAAATTAAAAAATGTATTTCTTTGAACAGTTAATTTCTTTGGATTCTATTTTTATATTTAATATCTAAACAAATTGTCTCGAAGTTCTCTTTCTTTATCCTTAACAATATCCTAGTATGGGACAACAGAAAACTGAGGACCTCAATGGATAAATATAAAAAAGGCACAACAAATGACGGGGATAGCTACCAGACATTATTGCAACAGTATAAAGATATTCAGAGACAGCCAGCTTGTATTAAACACCCATTAGACCTTCTTCATGAGCCAGGTAGGTCAGTCAGAAGGCAGGGCCTTTTCCAGCTATTTTGGAAAAGGCTTTTTAACCCATTACTTCATGAGCATTTTGTGAAAAATGGCTGTTTTCATTGAAAAGTCTCCCGTTACAAGTTCAAATTGCTATAATGCTATAAAAACTGCTTCAACACTAATCAAACTTGGCACAAATGTTGACTGGACCATTGCCCTTGCAACAACATGCTCAGCTTAGGCTTTAATTTTCTGTTACCATGGCAACGAGGGGGCATCTCAAAATTGCCCAAAATCACTATTTTGCGTTGATTTTTTCCATCATAATTGATTTCAAAGTGCTGCAACTTCTCAATGGATGGAGACAGTGTCAAATGCTTTTCAGCGTTGGTTACACGTTACCTTATGATCAATCTGGGGTCATTTATAGCCTCTCACAAGTCCAAAATTTTCTTGGCGATGAGGGGGACTCCGCCCCCCTTCAAACCCCCCCAAACAGAAGGGGGCACATCCCCCTTCTGGCAACCCCCTGATGTATCTTTTGGTTGGGGGGCCGCGCCGAAAAAGTGGTCACTTTTTTTAACAACATTTCTCAAACAAAAACAAGTGTTAAGGGCCTAAATAATGCATTTTTCACCATTTGAGACAACAAAAAGGGGGGGGGGTGAAAAAGGCGTTAAAAGGCGTGTATATGAAGTAATGGGTTAACATAATTTCTGAAAAAATTATTCAACATTTTGGGAATTTGAGAAAATTGAAATAATAAATAAATAAAAAAATACCTTAAACATTCAGGCTACATGTAAGAAAAGCATGATATTAATTTAATTGGCTTACAGGCTATAAAGAAAGTAGTCCTTAGAGATATATATAGGATGCCAGTCTAAAGATACAGTCCCACAGTCACATCCTGTAACCACACATTTGAAGCTGCTAGACTAGATAAAAAAATGATATTTATAATTTAAATTATATTTTAACATTGTCAGCTAATGTATTATGTAGTTGTAGCTGCTGTTATATGTTTTATATGTACATTGACAGCCGCTACTGCATCGGTTGAGAAAAAAAGATTGACTTCTGAACAAGTAATTGGTGATACTGCAGAATCTGTATTAGAGAAACAAGTTGAAAATATAAAGGTATTACTTTAAAATCTTTATTCTTAAAAACAGACATTTTACAAACTACATTACTTTAAATCAGGCAGCTTATGTTTTACTTTAATTTGTAAAAATAATTTTGTTAATAAAGTTAAGGTTGAATATTGGTTTGCAATATTATACATGTTTTAGCTACATATACTGATGATCTCATATAGTCAGCAAAGTTTTACCAAAAATAATATAGAATTGTACAAGACACTCCTAAAATTAAAATTCATTTAAGAAAATCAAATTGAAGTTCAAGATTTCAGATCTTTAAACATAATAAGCTGGCTTAGTGCAAAAGGGTTGTAACCCATATGATAAATAGGTGGAGTTACAACCCTTACGCACCAAGCAGTTGATATATAATTATTGGTCATCGAAAAAAAATTCAACATTTTGTAGCTGCATAAACTGATGATATAGTCAGCAAATTTTTACCATGATCAATATAGAATGGTACAAGACACTTCTAAAAATAAAATTTATTTACGAAAATTAAATTTCAGTAGTTCAGATCTATAATTCAGGCTTTTAACATATACTTTATCATGAATATTTTCAAATGTTTTATTTGCAGGAAGAGACAAAAGAAGATATTGGTGATGTAGAGGTCCAAGATGAGGAATTTGATGATGAATTAGATCTGTTAGAGTTACGTCGTAATGCCCTAGCTTCATTATTAGCTGAGGCGAGGGAAGATGGTGAAACTGAGGAAAGTGAGAACTCCTCGCACGGAGGGATAGTAAGGGTGAGTTGTGGATCTTTTATGAGCTCCATACATGAATTGATAGTAAGGAAAATAGGTGGATCTTTTATGAGCTCCTTACATGAGGGATAGTAAAGGTGATAGGTGGATCTTTTATGAGCTTCATACATGAGGGATAGTAAAGGTGAGTTGTGGATCTTTTATGAGCTCCTTACATGAGGGATAGTAAAGGTGAGTTGTGGACCTTTAATGAGCTTCATACATGAGGGATAGTAAAGGTGAGTTGTGCACCTTTAATGAGCTCCATACATGAGGGATAGTAAAGGTGAGTTGTGGATCTTTTATGAGCTTCATACATGAGGGATAGTAAGGGAGATTTGTGGACCTTTAATGAGCTTCATATATAAGGGATAGTAAAGGTGAGTTGTGGACCTTTTATGAGCTTCATACATGAGGGATAGTAAAGGTGAGTTTGTGGATCTTTTTGAGCTCCATACATGAGGGATAGTAAGGGAGATTTGTGGATCTTTTATGAGCTTCATACATGAGGATAGTAAAGGTGAGTTGTGGACCTTTTATGAGCTCCATACATGAGGGAAAGTAAGGGTGTGTTGTAGATCTTTAATGAGCTCCATACATGAGGGATAGTAAGGATGCGTTGTGGATCTTTTATGAGCTTCATACATGAGGGATAGTAAAGGTGAGTTGTGGACTTTAATGAGCTCCATACATGAGGGATAGTAAAGGTGAGTTGTGGACCTTTAATGAGCTCCATACATGAGGGATAGTAAAGGTGAGTTTTGGATCTTTTATGAGCTTCATACATGAGGGATAGTAAAGGTGAGTTGTGGATCTTTTATGAGCTTCATACATGAGGGATAGTAAAGGTGAGTTGTGGACCTGTAATGAGCTCCTTACATGAGGGATAGTAAAGGTGAGTTGTGGACTTTAATGAGCTCCATACATGAGGGATAGTAAAGGTGAGTTGTGGACCTTTAATGAGCTCCATACATGAGGGATAGTAAAGGTGAGTTGTGGATCTTTTATGAGCTCCATACATGAGGGATAGTAAGGGAGATTTGTGGACCTTTAATGAGCTTCATATATAAGGGATAGTAAAGGTGAGTTGTGGACCTTTAATGAGCTCCATACATGAGGGATAGTAAAGGTGAGTTGTGGATCTTTTATGAGCTTCATACATGAGGGATAGTAAAGGTGAGTTGTGCACCTTTAATGAGCTCCATACATGAGGGATAGTAAAGGTGAGTTGTGGATCTTTTATGAGCTTCATACATGAGGGATAGTAAAGGTGAGTTGTGGACCTTAAATGAGCTCCATACATGAGGGATAGTAAAGGTGAGTTGTGGATCTTTTATGAGCTCCATACATGAGGGATAGTAAGGGAGATTTGTGGACCTTTAATGAGCTCTATTCATAGTCCATCTGTTGCCAGGGCAGTGTCAATTTTCAGGGCAAGAATTAATCTTTTTGTCATTTTTATTTTTAGGCAAGTGATGAATCAAGTAAAACCACAAGAAGAACATCTCGTGAAAAATCATCACCTAAAACATTTCAAAGACCTTCTAATAGAGATGGTTTGTCAAAATCACAGAACAGGAACAAAAGCAAAAATGATGGTAACAAACTGCATTGATTTCTTTTGCAATTTATAGCATAACATTATTGATTCATTAAATAGGTAAGCTTGTGTGAATTGAAAGTTAAGTTTCATCATAACATTGTTGTCTAGTTTGGCTTAAACATAGAAAATATTGCCTCTTACTTGATGATCATTTGTTGAAAATTTAAAATAACTTATTACAGATTTTATAATCCCATCATATGAAGGCTGTCAATTTTGAGTAACCCATTTACACTCTTCCAAAAATTAGAATGTTGATGTTAAAATATAATTTTATTCTTGCTCTCTTTTCATATTGATCAAATGTGTTACTTCTCAAATTATTCTATACCTGATTTCATTTCTGTTATATGATAAACTTTATGTAGATGATACTTTAAAATTGCTTGTAAATCATACTCAAGTAATTTTTTTTCATAGGTTATTTACCTTATTGTACTCCTTGGAATTTTCAGCAAGGGCTCAGAGACACTCGAGGTTTTTACGAGCACGGACACCTGCTTTACGATCTTACAAAACAAGCTCATTTACTTCACGTAGACCTTATAAAATAGATGACAGAACACCAAGAAAACCCATTCCATATACTAGAACTAGACAAAATAGCTACCCTTCTAGGTCAAGTATTAGTACCGGAAGATTACGGTTGAGCAGCAAAGAGGAAAGACCGGTCACTCGACGTAACTCGTCAGACAAAAGAAGTTATCTAGCAGATTCAAATGATATACAGAAGATACTTAGTCTTGATGACCCGGAGGAAAAAATTGCTAGACTTCTGTCTATGCTCGATAAAAATCTGTCAAAAGAGTCGGAGAAAAGAGCCTTGGATGTGAAGGTAGTTGTTTTTGAATGTACCTTAATTTTAGCTGAATCTATTCTGTTTGATGGAATTTTTGTATTTGTACATGTATCTACTGTCTATTACAATTGGAACACGTTGTTAGTTATAAGGTGAAGAAATTGTTAAAGTATTCTAATAATTTTTATCAATATGAACTCATTTTTGGGCCTTTAAGTTTTTTGGGTGTGTATTATCTATTTAAAATTTTGTATTTCATGATGTTTGCATCTTTTTAAGAGGCATTTAAAATTCAATTCTAGCTACTTCAAATTCTAGTAAATTTCCGGAGACCTTTTGTAAGCTTTATAAGGAAAGGAATTGGTGTTCATTTTTCCTCTTGAGTAAAGCTTGACAAACAAGTGCTTTAAATGTAAAAACTACTTTTTTATCTTCAATGTAACTTATAAGTATGTTTTATTGTAAATTAATATAAACCCATCAATGGTTATAGAAAAAGTGAATTTCATGATTTGAATCTTATATAAAATGAGCCGCGTCACGACAAAACCAACATAGTGGGTTTGCGACCAGCATGGATCCAGACCAGCCTGCGCATCTGAGCAGTCTGATCAGGATCCATGCTGTTCGCTATCAGTTTCTCTACTTGTTAAAGGGTTTGTAAGCGAACAGCATGGATCCTGATCAGATTACGCGGATGCACAGGCTGGTCTGGATCCATGCTGGTCGCAAACCCATTATGTTGGTTTTGTCGTGACGCGGCTCAAATGTTTCAATATAAAATGTTTCAATATGTTCTTCACTTAAACACTGTATTCTTGGTTAATCAAGGTGAGCTCAAAGACTATAGAGGGTGTCGATTCAGAGCCCACACATGACAATTATGAAGAGGTAGAGATGGATATAGACAGTGATCCGGAATCAGCCCCTGCTGGTATATATATTTATATATCTTCTTATTCTATTATATCTATATCTACAAGACATTGAAATTGTATTTTTCAAGGAAAGTGATAAAATTCTGCAACTTTTTTTTATAGGGGATTTGGTTTAAAGTCATACCAACATATAAATAGAGAATGCTATGCTAATTTCTGATATTACAAAATTTATCAGGCAAGCCAAAGAAAAAAGAAGGAGAGGCTCATTATTTTTGTTCCAAGCCTGATAAATTTTGTAATATCATACACTTGATTGGTATTCTTTTCATCATGTTTCATCAACAAAAGTCAATTTAGTGACATGATAAAAGGTCGTATTGCAAATCTTTAGCTTCACTGTTGGAGAAAGGCTTAAGGAGCCCTTCCATCTATTTTGTCAGGCATAAGTTGTCCTTATTAATAGAATCATCTATCTTAAGCATGCAAGCTACACAGTTTCATTACATGAAAGAATTCAAGAATTCATTGAAAAAAGAACCAACTGCAGTGATAGACAAATGATTTACAGTCAATTGCCTTAACCTTTTAGCCATAGAGGCTCTTTAGATTTGAGGATGGTTTTTATTTTAAATAAAGGAGGTTTAAAACATGCATGTAGTTAGAAATTCTAGCTAATTTTTTTGGCTTTTTGACAAAGCTAAATGATTACCAACTCAATTGTTGAAGAATATCCCAGACCCATTCATGGTCAACTTCTTGCTGGGGAAATTTTGTAATATAAATATGGAATTCATAAAATGGTGAATTTGGGATTTCTTATGTTACAGCTCCTGTTAACCCAGTTGAAGAATTGCAGTTTGAACCGGATTTCTACAATGCTATGCAACCCATGTATATGGTAATACAAATGCAATACAAATTATTCAAAAATTTTTAACAATTTCTTATATAGCATTTCAAGATTTGCTTAATGTGGAAGAAATGTATCATTATATACAGTCTACTACACTTATAACAAGATCGGTTTATACCAGGTTCCGCTTATAACGTACATTCTACTGTGTCCGGGCCTTTTCCCTTCTATTAATCCTTCCATTCTATACCGTTAATAGCGAGGTAGTAAATTAATTGTAATTTAGTTGTCAAAGAACCAGTCCTGTATCATGTTATACACAAATCAAAAGCATTGTTCAGACAACCAAAGAATAAAAAAGGAAAATATAACATTTATTATGATGTGAATGTGTAGATTTCAATTTACTGTCTTAAGAGTTTTTGGCAATAATTATGCCCCCGCCATGTAATGGCCGGGGCATATAGTGTTACCCTGTTCCGTCATTCCGTCCTTCCGTCCTTCCGTCCTTCCGTCCTTCCATCCTTCCGTCCTTCCGTCATTCTGTCATTCCGTCATCATCAGTTTCCGTTCATTATCTTAAGAACGGTTGGGCACATTCAACTCAAATTTGACATATGGATATGTCATGAGAAAATACAGGTCAAGTTCGAATTTGGTCATGGTTCGATGATTTTTGGCAGAGTTATGCCCCTTTTACTTTGAAAATAATATGAAATTTCAGTTTCCGTTCATTATCTCAAGAACGGTTGGACACATTCAACTCAAACTTGACATATGGATATGTTATGAGAAAATACAGGTCAAGTTCGAATTTGGTCATGGTTCGATGATTTTTGGCAGAGTTATGCCCCTTTTACTTTGAAAATAATATGAAATTTCAGTTTCCGTTCATTATCTCAAGAACGGTTGGACACATTCAACTCAAACTTGACATATGGATATGTTATGAGAAAATACAGGTCAAGTTCAAATTTGGTTATGGTTCGATGATTTTTGGCAGAGTTACGCCCCTTTTACTTTGAAAATAATATGAAATTTTCAGTTTCCGTTCATTATCTCCCCAACGGTACAACACAATCAACTCAAACTTGACATATGGATATGTTATGAGAAAATACAGGTCAAGTTCGAATTTGGTTATGGTTCGATGATTTTTGGCAGAGTTATGCCCCTTTTACTTTGAAAATAATATGAAATTTTCAGTTTCCGTTCATTATCTCCCCAACGGTACAACACAATCAACTCAAACTTGACATATGGATATGTCATGAGAAAATACAGGTCAAGTTCGAATTTGGTCATGGTTCGATGATTTTTGGCAGAGCTATGCCCCTTTCACTTTGAAAATAATATTAAATTTTCAGTTTCCGTTCATTATCTCCCTCAAGGTACAACACATTCAACTCAAACATGACATATTGATGCGTCAAAGTAATGCGCAGGTCAAGTTCAAATTTGGTCGTGGTTCGATGATTTTTGGCAGAGTTATGCCCCTTTTACTTTGAAAATAATATGAAACTTTCAGTTTCCGTTCATTATCTCCCTCAAGGTACAACACATTCAACTCAAACGTGACATATGGATGCGTCAATGGAATGCGCAGGTCAAGTTCAAATTTGGTCATGGTTCAATGATTTTTGGCAGAGTTATGCCCCTTTCACTTTGAAAGTAATATGAAATTTTCAGTTTCCGTTTATTATCTCCCCAATGGTACAACACATTCAACTCAAATTTGACATATGGATATGTTTTTGGAATGCGCAGGTCAAGTTCAAATTTGGTCATGGTTCGATGATTTTTGGCAGAGTAATGCCCCTTTCACTTTGAAAATAATATGAAATTTACAGTTTCTGTTCATTATCTACCTAACAGTGTTACATATTCAATTTTAATTTGACATATGGATATGTCAAAGGAATGGGCAGGTCAAGTTGGAATTTGGTCATGGTTTGATGATTTTTTGGCAGAGTTATGTCCCTTTCACTTTGAAAATAATATAGATACATCTTAGAAATAAGCAGTTTAAGTTTGAATTTGGTCATGGTTCAATGATTTTAGACAAACTTATCTTTCCTGAATGTTGGAAAAATTTTGAACTTTCAGTTTCAGCACTCATTCTTTTAGCCATTATTTTGGCTACAAATATGCAATATGCTTTTTCTAACGGTTAAGACTGAATAATTTCAGTGCCTTGAACGTTGTATGGAAATGGTTTATGTTAACATTGAAAGGTTTTAAGGGCTTTGAACTTAAAATGAAAAAAAAAAAATTAATGCACCATCTGAAATTTTGGCTGCATGCGGGGGCATCCGTGGCATGATGACACATTTCTAGTTGAAGAACTATGTCACCAACATAGAGCTGAGTCAATTTTTAGAACATTGCAGTCAACGAGGCTATACTGTTTTTGCCAAGTTTTTATATTGCAATCCCTGTAGAACGTATTGGACTTTTCAAATGGTTTAACTTCTTTTCACCAGAAGTGGCAAAGTCAATTGTCTGTTTTGCCCAGATTGTCTGACAGCCTGTATAGAGAGGTGAATTTTTATGCCCCCGCCATGTAATGGCCGGGGCATATAGTGTTACCCTGTTCCGTCCTTCCGTCATTCCGTCATTCCGTCATTCTGTCATTCCGTCATCATCAGTTTCCGTTCATTATCTCCCCAACGGTACAACACATTCAACTTAAATTTGACATATGGATATGTCATGAGAAAATACAGGTCAAGTTCGAATTTGGTCATGGTTCGATGATTTTTGGCAGAGTTATGCCCCTTTTACTTTGAAAATAATATGAAATTTTCAGTTTCCGTTCATTATCTCCCAAACGGTACAACACATTCAACTCAAATTTGACATATGGATATGTCATGAGAAAATACAGGTCAAGTTCGAATTTGGTCATGGTTCGATGATTTTTGGCAGAGTTATGCCCCTTTTACTTTGAAAATAATATGAAATTTTCAGTTTCCGTTCATTATCTCCCCAATGGTACAACACATTCAACTCAAATTTGACATATGGATATGTCATAAGAAAATACAGGTCAAGTTCGAATTTGGTCATGGTTCGATGATTTTTGGCAGAGTTATGCCCCTTTTACTTTGAAAATAATATGAAATTTTCAGTTTCTGTCATTATCTCCCCAACGGTACAACACATTCAACTCAAATTTGACATATGGATATGTCATGAGAAAATACAGGTCAAGTTCGAATTTGGTCATGGTTCGATGATTTTTGGCAGAGTTATGCCCCTTTTACTTTGAAAATAATATGAAATTTTCAGTTTCCGTTCATTATCTCCCAAACGGTACAACACATTCAACTCAAATTTGACATATGGATATGTCATGAGAAAATACAGGTCAAGTTCGAATTTGGTCATGGTTCGATGATTTTTGGCAGAGTTATGCCCCTTTTTCTTTGTAAATAATATGAAATTTTCAGTTTCCGTTCATTATCTCCCCAACAGTACAACACATTCAACTCAAATTTGACATATGGATATGTTTCTGGAATGCCCAGGCCAATTTCGAATTTGGTCATGGTTCAATGATTTTTGGCAGAGTAATGCCCCTTTCACTTTGAAAATAATATGAAATTTACAGTTTCTGTTTATTATCTAACCAACAGTGTTACATATTCAACTCAAATTTGACATATGGACATGTCAAAGGAATGGGCAGGTCAAGTTGGAATTTGGTCATGGTTCGATGATTTTTTGGCAGAGTTATGTCCCTTTCACTTTGAAAATAATATAGATACGTCTTAGGAATAAGCAGTTTAAGTTTGAATTTGGTCATGGTTTAATGATTTTGGACAACCTTATCTTTCTTGAATATTGGAAATTTTTTGAACTTTTTGTTTCAGCACTCATACTTTTGTGGAAATGTATGTATAGCCATTATTTTGGCTACAAATATGAAATATGCTATTTTCAAAAGGTTAAGACTGAATAATTTCAGTGCCTTGAATATTGTATGAAAATGGTTTGTGTTAACACTGAAAAGTTTAAAGGGCTTTGAACTTAAAATGAAACAATAATTTGTGCAAACAAATTTGGAACTAAATATTATAACATCTGAAATTTTGGCTGCATGCGGGGGCATCCGTGGCATGATGACACATTTCTAGTTTCAAGAATTAAATTTATAAAATTTTAAACAGACACGTAAACAAATGCTTCAGTCAGTACATATAAGTATGGCAATATAAGATTTTGCCGGCCCTGTTTTAACTAATAAAGTATGTCAGTGTAAGAAAAGAAAGATATGTTATTCAATTTTTCAGACAATGCAACCGACTTATGAAGGGTATGATCCTGCTATGGGCTGGTCTATACAAGGTCCGTCATTCTCCGATACTGCTATACATGCGTCAGCCTCTCAACCACAGCAATATCCTCCCGCGCCTTTGATCTCATTCTCCGATTCACACATTTCCATGATGCCATATAACACGGCCATGTTTCAAGATATTAGTAGACCCTACCAGTTCTTGGATCAACATTCCCTACAAATGGTTCCCGATCAGATGAGCGGGTTAAGAGACATTCTGCCGCCCCCGCCACCTCCACCGTTGCCGTGTGAACCGCCACCAAATCCGCCATTACCTCCATCAGACTCCCCACCTCTTCCAACGTGTTCCCCTCCACCGTTACCAACAGAGAGTCTACCTCCGCCTCCACCAGAGGGCGATAGTGAGTCACATGATCAGATTCAATTTATGAATAATTTACCAATGACAAACACATTCCAGCCTAATCAACAGTATATGGCTAATTTAAACTTTAATAACAGTAACAATGACTTAAATGGTCATGAGGATCAGGATTATCGTCTCCGCGGAAACATAGAAATAAATCACGACGTCAGTCATCATGGTATGTCGGAGTCACGTCTGTTTAAATTAGCTGGATACAGTCCAACAACAATACCAGACAGCTGGAATTCTAGAAATAAGGAAGTTGTAAATTTAGATAGGAGTGGAGAGTTTGGTAATTTAGCAGACGACACTACAGGAATTGGTAACGAAAGGCGCCCCCTGGCGGTACCAGAGGTTGTTACTGAAGAAGAAGATGATGGGGAAGAAGAAGAAGCCATGCTTAGAGCACATTTGTTACAGTCTATGATGAAAAAAATGAAAGAGAAACAAAAACTGCTTGAGGTTTGTATATATAACTTTTTATATATACGTTGTATTTTGACATTTTCTTAAAAAGTTGGGTGCCAGACAGTATGAGGGATGTTGCACTTTTTCATTATCCTTCATGTACAGACTGAATCAAAGCGAGTCTGCAATTTTCATGTAATTTTGCAGATTTTAATGCTTCTGAGGGATCACTTTTTCCCCAGATTCTTAAAAAACACAGTGTCATTGGTCTATTTAAGTTTGTTGTTTTAAGTGATTAAGGTCATTTAACAAATAGGAAAAGGATTTGAATGAATCAAATAGCTATATTTAAACTCATATGAAAATCAACTTATTAACATTTAAGGGATTTGTTAAGAATTAAAAAAAAAAGTTGAAAAGGAAATTTCTTGATGTAATGAACTACATGTATTTTAATTCTTTAAAAGATTTCACAAGTCTGCGGCTAAGTTATTTTGAAAATTCATTATATATAATTTTTTAAAGACAAATTGTAAAACAAAGTATTCTACCATATAGTCTTAATAGTTATTTTCAAAGATATAATTATTTATAAGGGAATTTCAACAGTTAACAACATTGTCATTTCTTTTGAATTTCAGGATGCAAGTAGAAGTGACAGTTCTTTATCAAGAAGCCAGTCTCCTAGCTCAGTTCCAGTTGTTAGACAAGCTAAACCAATACCACAGAAACAAGCTTACAGTAGAATTCATATGGCAGTAAGTTGAATTTACAGAAAAAAATTTCATCAGATCAAGGCAGATGATGGTTATTGTTTTTATCATGTATATTGATCTCTGAAGAAAACTTTGACCTCTGCCATACCATCTTCAATTCATTTAGATAGAAATGGGTTTTATTCTAACATTTCAAAAAACTGAGCATGACCCCAAAATGATTGACCTGCAAAGTCAGATTTAAAAAATATGATGCGACTGAAACAGGAGCATTGTGTTTTATGAACATGTTATTATTTAAACATTAAATTTTCAAGGTGTATTTTACTTTTCCTCAAGAGCTATTTGATATTTCACTCAAAGAGTGACTTGTCATTATGATGCTAATATAAAAATTGATATTGTAGAATTTGCCAATTCATAAGCCTGTGATTATCAACCTTGGAGAGGACTCTTCAGATGAGGAGGAAGAAAAGTCACAAACAGCGCCATCTGGTGTACAAAAACTACTCGGTGGACTTGATTCATTTCTAAAGGAGGCTAGACGCTCAACAGAGGTATTTTTATTAACAAGATTTTGTAATGGAAACTCTACTTACTAGCTTGATGAAATTCAATATCATATTTTTCTACATTTAGATTTGTTACTTGAGTGGCAAGGTATATTGAAATAAATTGTGTTATTTCCAGACAACTGGTGGTCAGTCACCAAAGAAAGTTGACGCAGAGAAAGTATTAGAGATGAAGAGGAGACAGGCGTTGATGTCTAGAGTAAGACAGGAGGAAATTAATCTTCTCAAACAAAGGTCTGTACTTCTTTGGAAATTTCAGCCCAGACATAATCAGAATAAATATATAGCTCTTTTTCGAACAATTAGCCATGTAGTTTGTACAATGTCTCAACAATTAGCATAATGTTTTATATTGATTAAAAATTAAGGTTGTTTTATAATTGTGTTCTTTTTCCAACATGTGCAATTATCTCATAAACAGAAAACAGACAAAATAAATTATAAGCAGATTTTATCAGAGCTTAGGCACAAGTAGATCTCCAAATAACTAATATACACAACTTAAATGTCTAAATGAGTAATGTAATAAGTCTAACAGATTGACAGTTTGACAGGTTATCTGCCATATGACATTTATGTGAGAGACTTAAATTCTTACTTTAAAATGTAAAAAAACAACAGTTTTCTTAAATAATTCCTATACAAATTTAGTACTATAAACATGTTTACATAACAGTGTTCATAAATGATTTCTCAACCCATTTAGTAAACAGTAAACTCCACTTATTGCTAATGTCGCAGTCGGGACTCATGTTTTTGTACTTGATTGCCTCTAGGATAATGATATCCGGATATAATGATATAAATTCAGCGGTCCGTCTGAATATCATTATGAAAGGAGTTTACTGTATTAGAGATTATTATTATTATTAGTTGATTATGACAAAAACTTTTTAATGATGATATTACATATATATTTCAGTGAAAGTATTACAAAAGACCAAACTTTATTGAAGACTCTAGTGAACCAGGCATCTAAGTATCTACAGAATGTAAAGATATCTGAAGCAAAGGTTAAACAGTTAACGGAACAATTAGCAGCTGCCGAGAAAGTTGCCACTGCAAATAAAGACAATCTGGAGAAAGCCAAAAAACAGGTTGGTGTCATTCTTTTAGTCATTATGAATTCTTGTTAATTTAAGTATATGAAATTTGTTAAGCCATCCAGTTGGCATACATAATGTCAGTGGTTCTTCTTGGGTGCCTAAAAAAATACATAGCTGCATTTGTGGTATTCCTACACCAATGAAGTTACAGCAAGGGTGCAACTTAAATCTCGCAAAAAAATCAACTTAAAGAATTTTTCATCGTTGTCTATCCTCTACAGATTCAAAGTCTTACATTATATTTGGACATTTCTTTGTATGAATATATTCGTAAACCTACTGCTACAGGCATACAATGGTTATGTTGGGAATAAAATGTTGCATATGTGTTGCTTATTCACTTGTTGTAAAGGGTTATGTTCAATTTTTTATAGTCAAATAATTATATTTATAAACAAATGAACAAAGTTTTCAAGGATATGTTTGCATTTGATCAGTCCCAAACAAATTGAGGTTCATGACATAAAAGCAATGATTTTGTTGTTCATATTTAAGGCAAGGTTGGTTAAAGACCGACTGTTAAAGAAGAAGACAGAGTACGAGACTCTACAGAAGGGTTTGATAGAAGCTGGGCGTGAGTTACACTGTGCCGAATATAAGATTGGTGCTCCTCAGCCTGTTAGAAAGCGTGTTGTACAATCTACAAATCTACCTCTAATCAATTCACAATCAGAGAACAGACCCATAGTGGTGAGAAAAATTAGCACACTAAGCATTTATATTTATAAATATTTAATTAATTTTTTTGGGGAATGTCACTGACTTCCTGCCATATAAAATTGCTTTTACCCAAATTTAAGTTTCCCTGGGTAGGTCTATGAAACTTTTACAGTTTATCCCAAAGTTTGATGTATTAACTGTTTATGAATGGGTCACCTTTGTTCTGCTATGAAACAAAAACAAAAGTGCTTGCGCCCAAAATGATAGTGGTTATCTCAGTATAAAGTAAGATATTTGATATTTACTACATGTATGTTGATATTTGAAATTAAGTACATGTAAGTTGAGAATGGGTACGTCCTTGGTTCTTGTTTGTCTTGGTCAATATTATTTGGCTTGTGGTAGAACGTCATGCAGAATTGCATGATCAGTCCAGAATACTACTGAATTGATAGAAATAGTAGCTTCCAAGTTACATAACTTAAAAAATATTCCAAATTTTCACAATTAAATGAATATAGTTTATGTTTGTTAATAAAATTAAATCCTAAAATATTAAAGTCTAAATGTTATCACCTATATTTTACAGACTAAACCTGCTGGCAAGCATACAATGAAAGAGAATATGACTGTTACTATAAATAACCCATCTATCGGACAAATTACAAATGTTCTTGACAATGACCTTGTGTCAAACTCTGAGCAAAAAGGAAACGTGATGGTCGCCCCTGTCACAGAATCTGTAAAACAGTCTAGAAACATGAACTCTATTCATACACAGAAACAGTCTTTACTTGAGATGAAGGCTTTGCTGGAGAAACAAAAGAAATTGGAATTAGAACAGCAACGGAAGAAAAGAGAACAGATACTGAAAGCAAAAGAAGAGAAAAGATTAAAGATAATGAAACTCAGAAACGAAATCAAACTCGGCGAGATGAAGTTGAAACATGCCGAGATTGATAAACAGAAAGCTGAGAGGCTTAAGAATGAGCAGAAAGATTTAGCAATGAGTAAAAGCGTGCTGAAGATGGAGAAAATTGAGTTAGGATCGGATCCGATTGATTTGACTGATGAAGCAAATGAAAATCTAACTAAAAGACGCAGGTCTTTGTTAGAACTGAATCCAAGTACTAAGCCTGATTTGAAAGTTAACACAGAATTGATAAGAAGTAAATGCAGTGAAGACACAACTGATAATATATTTGAAATTGCCATACCAGAAGGGAAAAATCTGCTGAGGATTCTTAAACTTCAGGTGATAATATTATCTAATATTCCCATTTTGTGTCTGCATTAGTTTATAAAATGATAAAACTACATGATATGTATGTATAACTTTAATTTAATC